TTCTTTTTTACCAGCTTTAAACCCAAGGAAGGAGTTATCATAATAGGAGCCACAAACTTCCCAGAGGCATTAGATAAGTATGTATTAAAAGCCTTTTTTTTTTGACAAGTACCAATACGTACTGAAACGTAGATGAACTTTAAAAGAGAAGGAAGCCCAACACCAAACATCACATATGATTCTGTTTATGTGAAATGTCCAGAATAAGCAAATCGGTGGCAACAGAAAGTAGATTAGTGGTTGCCAGAAGGAGGGAAGAATGGAGAGTGACTGTTGGTGGCTATGGGGTTTCTTTTTGGAGTGGGGGAATAAAAATATTCTTAAGTTAGATTTTTGGTAAGTGCACAACTCTATGTTAAAAACCACTGGATTATGTACTTTGAAATCTGTGATGTGTAAATTAAATTTCAATAAAGTTGTTAAAAGAATCTTCTGACAACTTTATATCACAAAAGTTTGGGGGTGGTGGAGAACATTTTTAAAATAAAATGTATTACAGTTTTAAATTTTTGATTTTGTCATAGAAGGTATTCATATTTTAATTTGATTTCATAGTTTTTTTTTTTAATCTTTGCCTAAGTCTGTGGTTTAACATTCTATACTTAGAGCAGTTGTGATAGGAAGCTATCACAGTGTAGTTCTCATAATAGACTGCTGTAGAATTATTGTTCCTTGAGTGACTGACTAGCTTGCATGTTTTTGTTGATGAGGGTTGTGTACTATTTATCTCGATCAACCTTTGTCCTGCCTTCTGGTTATTGAAACTGTTACTTGAGCCATGTTTTACAAGGAGTGCTCTGAATGTTTATATTCAGAATTCCAGTCTAGGCTGGAATAGGTGATGGGGATTAAGGAGCGCACTTGTGATGAGCAGTGGGTGACGTGTGGAGTTGTCGAATCACTGTACTGTACACCTGAAACTAACAGAGCACTGTATGTTGGCTGTCCCGGAATTAAAATAAGAAAGAAAACTCCATCCAACTTCTGGTTGCCATTATCTTTCCATCTTGTCTTCAGAGTGTCAGTCCTATTTAACTTGACCATCAGTACTCAGATTATTAATTTATATTTTCTTCTCGTTTTCTCCCTTTAGTGCCTTAATACGTCCTGGTCGTTTTGGCATGCAAGTTACAGTTCCAAGACCAGATGTAAAAGGTCGAACAGAAATTTTGAAATGGTATCTCAACAAAATAAAGTTTGATCAATGTAAGTCTAATTCTAGTAACAAACTTTATTATTTTCTCTACGTAATGGTAATATTTCATTCCGCCCTATTTGTGGTCCTTACTTGATAAATGTCTCAGAAGACCAGTTTTTTCTATGTTCTCTTTTCTCTCCATTTGTATTTCCTTTTTAAAAAGTTTATTTCTTGGGCGCCTGGGTGGCTCAGTGGGTTAAGCCGCTGCCTTCGGCTCAGGTCATGATCTCAGGGTCCTGGGATCGAGTCCCACATCGGGCTCTCTGCTCAGCAGGGAGCCTGCTTCCCTCTCTCTCTCTCTGCCTGCCTCTCTGTCTACTTGTGATCTCTCTCTGTCAAATCAATAAATAAAATCTTAAAAAAAAAAAAAACCAGGAAAAAAAAAAGTTTATTTCTTGATAATTATATATGTAGGACATTCTGTCGTTTGAATCCCAATGCTAAAAGATGTTTTTGTGGGGCTCCAGGGTGGCCTAGTTGGTTGAGTGGTTACCTTTGGCTCAGGTTGTGAGGGTCCTGGGATCAAGCCCCGCCATCAGGCTTCCTGCTCAGCAAGGGAGTCTTTTTGTCCCTCTCCCTCTGCTCCTGCTCATGTGCTCTTTCTTGCTCACTCTCTAAAAAAAAATTTAAAAATTTAAAAATAAATCTCATTAATATTAAATAAATAATAAATTTAAAATGATAGATATAAATAATTATAAATGAATTATTACAAATGAATAATTAGATATAAAATAATGAAACAGAATTAAAATAATAAATTTCGTGAATTTGATTAATTTAAAATTTTAAAATTTAAAAAAATTCCTCTTTTAAAAAAAGAATGTTTTCTTGAGAGTTTTCAGATACTACTTGCAGATAAATATAAGTGTTTTTAGATGAATGTAAAATATGAAATAGTAGAAAAAGCACATAAAATATCATCTCTTTGGGCCCAAAAGAGGCAAACTGTAAGACAAACATATGAAAATATTATGGACCCACTTGAGTAATAAATGCAGCTATTAAATTAAGCTGTAGTATTTTCAAGGATAGGTGAATCCATTTATAAAACCTGATATGTTGGGGCGCCTGGCTGACTCAGTTGGTTAAGCGACTGCCTTCAGCTTAGGTCAAGATCCTGGAGTCCCAGGATCAAGTTTCAAATCAGGCTCCCAGCTCCATGGGGGGTCGTCTTCTCCCTCTGACCTTCTTCCCTCTCATGCTTTCTCTCACCCTCTTTCTCAAATAAAAATAAATAAAATTTTAAAATTAAAAAACCCCTGATATTTCCTCTAATAAGGGGAGCTTTTATTAATGTACATATAATACTAAATACTTATGTATAAAGTATTTCAAGATGAAATTCAGAAAACAAAATGTTGTCTATGTGTATACATTCTCAGCTGTGCTTAGGCTAGTAACTGTTTAGGCCATAATTTGAAGGTTTATAAATCATGTCTGGCAACTCTGCATTTTTTAATTTTTAACAAAGTTATTTAAATTTAAGAACTTTTGTGATGTGTCCCAGTGGGATTTTAATGATCTATTTAATGGCAGTTTTGGTTTTCCTTTAGAAAAAGTAAGTTTATTTTGTTGTTACAGTGATATAAGTATTTTAAGTTCTAGTTCAGGATAACTGTTTTCTATTTTCTTTCGGAATATGAGTCATTTGTGAAGAGTCGTTTTGGAATTTTAATATTGTGTTTATCTATGTAGCTGTGGACCCAGAAATTATAGCTCGAGGTACTGTTGGCTTTTCTGGAGCAGAGTTGGGGAATCTTGTGAACCAGGCTGCATTAAAGGCAGCTGTTGATGGAAAGGAAATGGTTACCATGAAGGAACCAGAGTTTTCCAAAGATAAAATTCTAATGGGTAGGTTTTCTCTCTCTTTTTTCTTTTCCCTGTCTTATACTGTTCATTATGTTAGAGAATAAATTCTTTTTGAGAAAAATGTTACAAGAAAGAAAGGTACAGGAGCAAGAATATATTTACTCAAAAGTAGTCACACAACTGGGCCTCTTACAGAACAAATACAGTTTATATGATTATACTGTTTGGGGGCAGGGGGTACTCTGTGTTTTTATTCTTATCTGGTATTGCTGATAAAAGAATAATTGTACAGATAAAACAAAAATTTTGCTAATTTTCAGTATTTGATTTTAAATCTTGAATTGGCTTCAGAACAATTTAGCTGTGACATTTCTTATTTAAATTTATTTTCTGGAAATAGGATTAAACTTTCCTGGTTGATAGTAAGGAGTAAGAGGACAGCTCTTACAATTTTGTTGTCAGTTGTCAAGTTATTTTGGTTTAAAATAACTTAATAATGATATTAAGTCATGTCACTCTAAGAATTACTTAAAGGCAAGTGGGTTTCATTCATCTAAATATGCCTTCCTAATGGAATAATTTTATTCAATAAATTTTTATCCTTAGGGCATGAACGAAGAAGTGTGTAAATTGACAATAAAAACAAAACCATCACAGCATATCATGAATCCGGTCATGCTATTATTGCATATTACACTAAGGATGCAATGCCTATCAACAAAGCTACAATCATGCCAAGAGGGCCAACACTTGGACATGTAAGTATCTTGTTTTTTTTCTTTTCTTTCAAATAACACTCTCTAAAAGCTTATGTAGGAAACTGTTGAGGAAAATAATTAAAAAGAAAATTCAACTAAGTTCTAAGTTTGCTGATAACTTTCTTCTTTAATGTTCTGAACC